ATGACAACTGTCAAAAAGCGCTTACTTCGGTAGCGATCTTTTTCGCCCTCAGTAAAACAAGGAACGGTGGCATTCAGCGGAAAAAAAAAATCCCCGTGGCTACTTTGCGAACCTGAGCGCCTTATTGTGCTGTATCCATTGCATCGAAACCCAAACATTTTTGCCCAACATTCAACATGCATTCCAGTCAGTCTCCTTTACTTAAAAACAAATGCAATGCTGTTTTTCTTATTGAAATAACACATTAAATGACATAACACGATGTTAACGGTCCACTGGACAATCAGAATACATATACGCTCTGATCCAAGAAATTGGTTTGACTTCACATTTTATATTCATTCATCACTATTTTTAGGTAAATTACCGTTGAATTGTTTTAATGGGCCTCTTCTAATTTCTAATATTTCTCACAAAAGATTATCCATGCTTAGCCCGTATTCTGTAAAACTAAGTCACAGTTTGGAATTCAAACGACTGCTCAAAATGTGTAATAATAATAAATAAAGAAGATTTGTTGTTAAAAATAACAAGAAACAAAAATAAACATTTGTCAGTTTTTAAATGTATGTATTATACCAAGACGTCTAAAAACAAGTACGTCATATTAAAACTAACCTTAACTTTCCTCTTTTTGTTCTTTTATATTTAAAAAGTATTTTGTAAAACAATCTCTGTGGAGATATTATGAACAAAAGACAATTAATTCACAAATAAAAACAACTGTTAAATGCAAATGAACGTGACTGATGTAAAATGTGAATACAATAGTCCTATACATAAAATAGCGTATACAACTTCTGTACGTTTGAAAGATTTTAGATATTAAGTTTGTTTAATTCTTGTTTATTTTGCTTGTGACTTTCATCGCAATTTACTCGCAGACAAGATGAAAACTTTCTTCAGTGTGAACGATCAGGGGTACAGCTAATGTTTCCATTTAAAATAAATGAAAGAAGGAAGAAAAGAAGACATTATTTAGATCCGGGACCTGGAGGCTTACAAAAAAATCCAGGTTTGACAAATACCGGTGTAAAAAACACGCAACTAGATGTTCGTAACCTCACGGAACCATAAACAGAGGTCAGTAAACCACGTGTTTGTATATTAAACTAAGCATACCTGTACTGTTTTGTTAACACTAAAACTATTTCTACTTATAAGTGAAATAGAACAGTCGATATACATATAATACGTTAAAATTTTAGATTTTATTTCGTTTAACTAGATAATATAGTTTGAGTGGAATAATCCATTTTGTTTTTATTTCATAACCATTTATCGAGCAATAAATGTGATACACTTTTTAACCTTTAGTGCAGTTTTATTTCACTACTGCATTAATAAACACTACTAAAGTTCTGGTATTTTGTGTGAATATCAAGTAGTATTTGCATCAGAGTTTTTACTAAGGATTTTCTTTTCAACTGGAAATTATATTTTAACTTCATCGTTTTTTAATACATGACGCCTTATTGCACCTCATATATACAGGCCTAGTAACAAATGATCCAAACGAATTAACAATATTCTAGTAAATACATTTGTTCATCAATTCTTGAATTGAATTTTATAATCTTAAATATGTTTTATTATTAGTAACCACTTGAACTTACTTATACAGATGAATTTTCAACTGCACCACTATGTTTATAGGTGCATAATTTGTGATCAACTGCACACCCTGATTTGCATATATGAGGATTGCAAAAAAAATTTAATAAATTTGTCAAAACTAGTTCCGCTCATTCAACTGGTAGCAAAAAAACAATCCGATCAAAAAGAAATAAAAATGTAAGTGTGGACATTTTTCAGAGGAAGTGACTTAAATGATGTATTTAATATCTATCGAAACTATCCACCCTTATAAAACTCATTATCAGTAGTTAGATTTTCGAACAGGCAGAATGGATATTAAAATATCATATCACATTTTACATTCTATGAGTGAACTAATATAATAAAATTAGATCTCTGAACACAAAATCCTCAGACTATCTACCCATGCCACATGTACGCATGAATACATCTATATCATATAGATAAAATCTGAATTTCTTAACTTGATAATATGTGATTACTTTTAAGTTTTTCACAATAAATTTAAAAAAGTTTAAAAGGGTGTTGCATACTAAAATTTATTCAGTATATATATATTGTCATGTAACCAATTATTATGTGTTCTCCTTTGCTTTCATTCATGGGTTCTTCTAATAATCATATCGTTGATAATTAAAAGAGTTTCTTGTAATCCGTGTATTATGTGGGTGAGTTAATGTCGATAGTCACTATTATTTTACGAAGTTATGGCCAGCATATAAAAGGTAAAGGATGCACGCCAAAGCTCTGACGAAGATTCCATTATTTCTTTTTGTTTTGTTTTGTTGTTAAAAGTTAGATGATTAATTAAAATTTGACATGTTAACTTAGGTTTTTGTTGAAGATTCTCTTGGGGAACGAGTATGGGTAGACCATGAGGACTGTAAAGGGTTTGTTGACAACATCTTAATGTCTTTTAAGACAAAAATTCCTCCTAAGAGCATGATGGCACCTGAATTGACTTTCAAGCCTGATGCATGTATGATCATATATACAATCTAACATGAAAATCTGACTGTCCGATCTCTGATTAGTACAATTTTTTCTCAAATATGGTGCAATTCATAACCTTCGTTAGAGAATATTCTATACACGAAACCTCTTGCTAACGGTTATTTCTATGCTACAATCCTCAATATAAATCGTAACATAGCTATTTGAATTTACGTAAGTAATTATTAATACAATTAGCGTTATCTTGTGTTGCTGACGAGTAATTATTATTCTAAAAGTTTCAGTGTTTTAGATGGTATGTATCCTTTCTGCTAAATAAATATCAGATTTCAAGTCACAAGACTGTAAAAGTCGTGCTTCAGATCTGTTTTTGTTTGTCAAATAACAAAACTTAAGTCTGAAAGGATATTTTTATATACACTCCACATCCGAAACTATCTTGGAAAGTGTAATTTTAGCTAGCTCGGGTGTTTCATTACCTAATGTTTTACTGTTTGAAAAACTACAGTTTAACATATTTACTTTTGTCAGTCAAATCTATTAATTAGTTTAACGCCCCTGAGGTTAGCCTGAGCTGTTATTTCAACAAAAACATCTAAAAGTATCTGATTTGAATTTTCACTTTCCAAAAAAATAAAAACTAAGGGAAAAGAAAATTCAAATGCATATAATATGGTGAACTGTTCTATTAATATTTTCATTTTAATGTCACAGAATGCGCTTTTACAGGCTGATAGAGGGCAGAAGGTTTATTTCTCTGTTATAGAATTCACACATCCGAATTTAGTCGCTTCTTCAGCTATGCATAGTTGGGTGGAGAAAAACACCTACACATAAATTGCATCATCTCTACCAGCATAGTATTCTTAGTTTTCTAGCGTTAACTGGGTTAAATCATTTTACTGTAAAGTTCTGTTCACCTATTGGTTTTGTATGTTCCTGCAAAGATTTTAAAACGAATCACTGATTCTTTTAAACAGATCTAACTGGGTTGAATCAGTTTATTGCAAAGCTCTGTATTTAGTTTTGTATGTTAATGTGAAGACTTGAATAAGAATTCTTCTAAACAGATATAAGTGGGTTAAACCAGTTTATTGAAAGCTTTGTTCACATTTGGTTTTGTATACTCATATAAAGATTTTAAAACTAATGTATGATTCTGTTATACAGATGGTACAGTATAAATGACCTGCACATTTTGTGGTTGGATGCCCATTTTAAAACTAATTTGTTAAGTTTTGCAGGACAAGAAAACTTCTGGAATAAACTTAGACAGAATCGGTTTTAATCTGAAAACTAAGCTAGGATGTGATCCCATAAACAATTTTAAAAACCTTTGGGATTCAAGTTACAGATGTATTTATCAATCAGGACTCGCAAAAGTTTGGTTAATTTAATTATGTGGAGAATGCTATGGCATTTCGTCGAATTCATTATTCGATACTATACAGCGGACTAATTGTTTAATGATTGTGTATATATATATATATACACGTGTGTGAGTGTATGTTATAATTTATTTTCTTTTTCATTGGAGGCCAATTTCACATCTGATGAGAAAAAAAATAAAATTTTAACATACAAATACAGTTCCTTTTCTTCTTGGTAATTTGTTCTCCCTTGCCAACAAATATATATATATTCCTAAAAAAAAAGACATCTCTCTACAACTATCTAGGGAAAATTAGACCAAATATTTTAAGGCTAGTATTAATTACACATATATATATTGTGCGCGTATGACTGAACTCTCAGTATTGAAATGAACAATTAGTTGCTTTCAGTCATGGGTTCTTAGAATGATACATCGCTTACTCACTAAAATGCATATACTCTGCTTCTAAAAAAATAAAAACTACTCGTAATAAAAAAACAAACACATCACACAAGATTGATAACTTTTCCAGAAAGTCGTTAAACGTCCAGTGACCTCAAAGCGTGTTCTACACCTACAGTCATAGATATTGAAGTCTAGGAACTCGATATATAGGACAGCAACTTACAAATATACAACTGTTTTACTTTTAAACTAGAAATCTGGTATTTATATATATATATTCTTTATAACTAAATTAGGTTTAAACAGTTTTCAGCTTCTCTTTAAAACATGATGACCAGAAACATGCAGTGTTCCATTCATACTAGTACAGTATTTTCGTGTGCATAAATACTTCAGAACACATTGTTATGTTTGATTAAACATAGTACAAAATATGTTTTGTTTATAAACACTGACCAAATTATTCTATTTTGATAAAGTATTATCTGTACAAAAATAATTAGATTTAGTGAACTCTTAGAAAGTTTTTAATAATGATATTATTGTTTCTATATTTTGTATTTATGCTAATATTTATTCTTGAAATTTATTTATTCATTAATATTGGACATTACTATACATGTCACTGTGGCCTATCTGAATATGTCTCAGATTAACTATAACTTACTTGTTATTACAAGAAGACGAAGACACAGACTCGCAGTCATCTCTCCTACGGTTACAGCACGGTTTCAGTCTGACAACCTTGTGGGAAGCTCTTCCTTCGTTTTGTTAACATTCCTGTTCTCGGCATGGTTTCAAGTGTATAAGGATGCAAAAGTAGAGTTTTTCAACATGTTTCCAAGGTAGCATCCAATACTCTACTTAGCAGAGACTTGTATAAAACTCCTGCAAACATTCTATTCTGGTTAATTGAATTATTAATTGCTTACTTTGCTATTTCTATAATATTTCCATACGATTGTTTGCTGTACAGTGTACAATCAGCCAGACTCTCAAGCTGCGGTGTGAATAACCCCCACGAACAGGTCTTTAATGTCTCCGAATCTGGCTGTTTAGTACTTACTACTAGCCAACACGTTCTTAGGTTGTAACGTAAATACCGCCTTGCGTAAAACCTTGAACCTTCTGTATTGCGTGCGCCACTCTGCGGTGCGTGACGTCCTGACCTACAGGAGAAATATACACTATAATATAAGTTGCTCGTCCACCTGGTCTGGGATAATTACGCTTAACTTGTTGGATCAGAGGGTGCGGTATTTAACTGTAACCTGATTTTTCAGAGATGCCATGAAATGATGAGGGTGGAGGCCAATAGGAGAAGGTCACGCCTGTCTTCAACGCCAGTCCTTTGGTTCTTTCTTAGGGCCAGTGCAAATTGACTTCCGGCCCTTTTCTTTGTAGTAGTAACTAGTGAATATGTATAGATTCAGTCCGAAAAACATATTAGTCTGAACTTTACCAGTAAACTGGTCACAGAAACTATTGATTTGGTCTTCCCTTCTGCTGGTCACCCCATACCTGACCTCAGAACTAAAGCGAAGCCTTGTTTTAGCACACAAGGATCTCGGTTCAACTCACTAGTTAATCTTGTCCTGTTCCAACGTACCTCGCGGCTGTGCCTATAACTGCAGTCTCTCGGTGCGACAAGTTAGAATACTTGCCTTATTAAAGTAAATCCAGTAACGTGTTAGAAGTGATTGGATAATCTGCTTTCAGAAGCTTATCTTATTGAACCCGGACTTTGTCCTACCGATAGCACATGAATAATTTGTACCAGAAATAGATTCATATTTATCAAACTCATTACCTAAAACTGAAAGAAAGCTAATGAACTCCACATATATCAAAGTGAATGGATATAATGTTGTTTATACATCATAACAAAGTGTGTTATATTAATTAGTATAAAATAATTACAAGCTAGAAAACACATAATGAAGTTTACACAAGAATACAAAAAAATATTTTATTTACGTTAGGCTTGTACATGTTACTAAAATTTATGTTGATGTTTTTATGTAACTATTCAGGCTACATTTCAATGTGCAACAGCAAGAATACTTTATATGCATTATGATGCCACGAACGAAATAATTTAAAGTAGAACGTTGCATGTGTTACCGAAATTTATGTTGATATTTTTAGGTAACCATGTATGCCACATTTCAGTGTGCAACGATGAAAGCATTTTATTTTTTTCGGAAAGTAAAGTAGACTGGAGAAACTGATATAACTGAGAAAGAATGGCGAATTATTTTTTTCATAGAAATAAACGTGATGTAGTTTAAGTATTTTTTTACAGATATGTTTCGGCTTCCACAGTATGACAGAAGTCTTTGATACAAGGGCAAACTTAAACCGTTGGGAATATAAGCTATTTTCTATTATTATTTCACGTAAACGTACTTATGTATATCTCAAACACTCCTATAACTTAACTCAAATATATAACTCCACTCTTCCAGCCAGTTTTCGTTCTACAATAACTATAAGGGAACAATGTAAACATTCAACGTATATGTTTACATGCGTTAGAGAGGCTTTTACAAAGAATTCTACATTTTTCAGTTTCTGCTTTGAGTTTGTTAAATGTTAATTACTTTTTATTGCCAAAGCTGTTTTACTTTAGCTAAAACTATTCTTGTGTTCTTAAAAAAAAAAAATCCGTAAGGCAAAACATAGATAAAATAAAAAATAAAAACTTCACTTGTTACTGACTGTTTCTTTTTTGTTACTAAATATTAATAATATTAACACTTGATGCAATATACTAGTTAATCTATCCACTCTTTATAGACGATTTTGCTGGAGGTCACCAACTTTTTCTCTCCGAAATAATTCACTGTTTTTGAACGGCTTTTTACCATATGGTAACACTGTTAGTTTCTTTGCCTCTTTTCTCATACTTTCTTCTTCAGAACGTGTTTACCGAAAGTTATATACATCTGTTGTACCGTATCATTACTTCAATCTCCTTCTCATAATTAATCTCTTTAGACGATTTTTTTAAATTTAATGAGTTATGCTTACTAAGTATTTATTCCTTTTCTCAGATATACAGCATATGTATGTATGTGTGTGTGTGTGTGTGAAATTCACCGGAAGTTAAGACGTCATACTGGTTGACTACTTCAAATCTTTCCTCGGACCTTCTCACTTTGAAAGAGTTTTATCGGAAGTTAGTGACCTATTTACTGCTTTTCTCTCAACTGAAGACATACTTCCAGTAACAATTTTTCTAAGTATGGGAAAGCTTTCGATGTAATCGCACTAGTTGCCTCTTGTACTACATGTGCTTAATAAAAATAAATTAATAAAAGGAAGAAAAAAAAACGATTGCTTCATGTAATAAAGCTAGTACGAATTTATAATTTCTGAGTAGAAATATGGTCCCATACTAAAAAAGAAATAGAATACCCTGTAAAGTAGAATATATTGAGTAAGTACCTGGAACTCAGAACAAACATTTATCATAAATTATGCCAGGAAGAGTAAAGCTGTCGCATTAAATATACAATAAAGAGTAGTAACAACTTTATAACGTTGCATGATAACTGTACTGTTAAGACAGATGCAGTTGAGACAAATTACACCTTTCTACAGTATGGTTTTAAGTAGGAAACAGTATACACCGTGTGTGTAAATTATCTATCAACTCCTCATGTTCCTTCTGGCTTCTTTGTGGAAGGGTACTGCATTTTATCCAACATATGAACTACAAAGAAAATATTTATAGGATACTTAAATCTATCATGATTTTGAAATGCAAACTATGAAGTAGAATAATTACTTTTACTGTTGACACAGTATGGTAACAGTCTTAACATGCTTTTTTGTGTGTCTGAGCATTTCCACATGTATGCCAAATGTTTAAGATTTCGTGTAAGCTTAAGTAGGACAAGAAAATTTATTAAGTTAATGGTCAAACGTACACATTTTAGTTAAAATTATAACATTATCCATGCAGTATCCAGGATCTGTAGTGTTCTTGAGTTCCGAATTTCGCAATTAATATGCTATAAAGTTGATACTGTACACCTTACATACGTAGAATGATAAATATATGTATGTCAAATGTTCTAAAATTTCGTGTAAGCTTAAGAAGGACAAGAACATTCATTAAGAAAGACATGGACAAGAAAATTTACACTTTACATACGTAGGATGATAAATATATATATTAATGTTTAATATTATGAAAAGCCTTTCAAAGTTCACCAGTAAATGTATTCATTCAACTCTTTATCCATTCCCTAACAATAAATGTACACTATCTCGGAGTAATGTATTCAGCGTATCAAACAAACGATACTGGATGTCGACGTTTTAGATACACAGGAATCGTTTAATTTCCCATTGTTGTTACGAGTGAAAGTATTTAATATTGACAAAGACGAAGCAAATGCTTACTTATGATTTTTATTTCATTGAAATTAAACTTTAAGCTTATATCGAAGTAGTTGAAAGCCATGCCACTTTCAGGATCACTATCTGAATAGATCAAGTTTGATAAAGAAATTAAATAGTTATTATGACAACATCACTTTACAATGATTTGGCAAAAATGACGTATATTAGTATACCTACCTCTGTTAAAAATAGCCGTTACAATAAAAAAAAATGTTTCAACTGAAATAAATACCACAAGTACAAATGAATCGAAGCTCCTAAAATTACATCAACGAAAAAATATAAGACTCGAAGGAATCACACTCTCTAGCCTACGTTTCAGAAACTGCATTTTATGTCAGGTATTTAACATATTTTCTGTCAAACTAGACTACTGAAATAATATTACTGTTCACCTTAATCTTGAAGATGTTATTATGATGTTACAGCCACCGGGGATTTCACTGCATGGTTATATTATTTTGAGTACTAAAAGAAATATTACCAGATCTGCAGAGAAAGAAGTTATAAAATTAGGATTGAACAGTTTGTTTGGAAATTAATTATTCCTGTGTTTGGGCTGTTGGTTTGTATAGCAAACCTATCAGATATCACAGCACCTCATCTCCAAATTTAGCTGGTTTCTTAGCCCTGGCAATTAGAAAATATCGCAAATAATATCAGATGGATTTCGAGGAAATCAAGACACACGGTAGTGTGTCGTGCGGCCAAAAAAACAACCTGCAAGACACACTGTGTGTTATTAACAAGAGTGATAGTTTTGGAGATTTTCACCTTCTGTAGCTCGGACTGTGGTAATCTAAATTATCCCTTTTTTTCTCCATCAAAATTGGAGATGTTATATCTCAGTTATTTACTTATAGACTACCTTGTAATTTGGTATGTCCAGTAGAACACATCCACTGTTACTTCTTCTTTCTTCTTGCACCAAAAGTACCTACATTTTATTTGATAGAAAAACATACTTAACTTTTATGGATTTTTTTCAAATTCTGTACACTGATAGATCTTTAAAAACTGACAATAATGAGTCTCATTTGGTGTAAATATAAGCTACATGTACAAAGTTATTCAACAAAAACCGCTCAAAGTTGACAAAAGGTTTTGTGCACGACTACGCAAAAAGTCACATGAGCTATCAGTCTAACATTTTTATTATAGCTTCACCTAAGAGTAAAAGTGGACCGTTTTTAGTTTTTGTCATTCGAATTAAAGATGGCTGATTTAGAGAAGCAAAACTATAAGGTGAAAGGACGTGCAGATACATAAGTATTGGTTAGGCCAAGCAAACTAGATTAGCAG